AATCTCTTTCCCTCAGTCCAAGCGGTAAACAGTTCTTCTTCAAATAAAACAATCCCCGATTCAGTCCGTTGAAGTATAGTGAAAAAAAGTTTGTTCTGCCAGAGGGCCCATTCTTGGCCTTGATCTCTGGAAAACTCCTGAACGCTGAGGTTTAGAGAAGTAAAAAAAATTTCGTAACTTTACTCTGATGTGCCCAACATTTGTGGAAAGTTTCAGGCAAGTCCGATGCACTGTAACGAAAATCGATTTTGGAGGAGAAGGAATGCCTTAAAAAAGAATTTGATTCAAAGCGATGTAAACACTGGGAGATACGAACGAAAATCAAAAGGGAGAGGGTAATGTCTACAGTTAAATTCAATAGATTATATCCTATTGTTGCGGTTTGACTAACTGTTAGAAAAGCAAGTGTCATGAATTTATTACTACTCTATTCATTTTTATGCTGAGTTTGTCTTGCACAGAAATAATAGAATAGGTTTTTAAAAAATCCTGATTTTTTCCTACGAAATTGTTCTACTTGTTTTCCTGATTTCAATATCTAATTCGATGCAATTTCTTGTGAGGATGATCAATACTCATTTATTCAACACATAATGATAAATATTTTATATCAATCACATCACACTATCAAAAATCGATGAAAATATAAAAATAATATTTAAAGAAAGCGCTTGGTTAGATAAAAATGATACCAGTTGAAAATAATAGAAAAAAAAATCCGTGATGAATTAATGACAAAATGTCGAAAGTAAATAAATATTTAAACATTAATAACTGCTGTTCGTTGAGTGAAAATAAATGATATTCTATCAAAAATATCATCTAATTCCGATAAACTTGATAAATCTAAAAATTTACATTTATCACCTCCAGCTCGTTTTAATTGATTCATAGCTTGTCTTCCTTGTATTTCAAGTCCAATACCAATTAATAACATATCAGTTTCAAAATCATCACAAATTTGTTTAACTCGTTGACATGCTTGTGCTAAATTACATTTCGTTGAACTACAATCTTCTCCATCAGTGATTAATATAATTTGATTTCGATTTGAATCACCCAATAAAAGTCCCGCAAATTTATTTCTTAATAAAACTTGAAATGTTGAATCAATAGCATCATATAATGCTGTACCAGCATTAGCATCATCGACACTTGGTTTCAAAGCAGATAGAACTAACGCTAATTTTAATTTAGCAGTATTAGCAGCTTCAGCATCCATTATTTCATAGACTTTAGCATTAAATGCTAGACATGTTAAACGATCTTTTAGACCTAATTGATTAGCGATTTTAATTATTCCACGTTCTGTTACTGGCCATCGATTTTTCGAAGGATTTATTCTATTATTTGCTTCATAACCAATCATTGATAATGATACATCTACTACTAAAACAATATTATAACTATGAATAGCAAGAGAAACATCAATTTGTCGAGGTAATGGATTTGATATAGAAGTTTGTGTTCGATTTGGTACGACTTTTGAAGATTGTTGAGGTTGTTTTATTGGAACTAATGGATGAGTATCTTTATGTCCTTTTTGATTTGGATTTGAATTAAGACATTTCGAACATAAATCATAATCATCACATATTGAACATTTATATCGAACACCAATTATTGGACAACATCGACAAACATCACATATAACATCATGAGTTGTTGTTTGATCAACTGATCTATTTTTATTTGTTGTTGTTAATGTTCCACCACAACTTTTAAGGACATCTTCATATTCTTTTTGATTTGGCTCTAATTCACAACATTTTTTATAACATTCTATTGCTTCTTGTTTACGATTTAACATTTCTAAGGCTCTTCCTTTATAGAAATATCCTTTTGTCCAATTAGGATCAGCTTGAATACTTGCTGATGCATCTTTTAAAACTTTATCAGCATCATTTAAACGATAATAACATAAAGCACGATTTGTTAAATAAGGAGCATAATTTGGGACTTGTTCCAATGCATAACTGAATAGTTCTACAGCTAAAGTGTAATTTCCTTCAGTCACTGCTGTTTTTGCTTGCCATTTTAATTTTTCTGAACTAGCTGTTGGTTTTACTTTTGCACTACTCATTTTGTCTATGAAAAATCACAGATCAAACGATACTCACCAAATATAATAATGATTTGAAATAAAGGTATTTACAAGGATGTAGAAAAAGATCATTAATTGATGTTTTTTTTCTTTTCGAAGAAAAGTGTAAAAGGTTTTTTCCAACTTAATTTCTTATCGTCTATTTTTTTTTCAAAGTATGTTATTGACGTAATTATGAGTAATAATAGGTTAAATATTTTTTCTTCTTCCTTTCTTTTTTTTTGCATAATATTGTATGTGTTTTTATTACTCCGAGACAGTGTCTTTTTTTGTTACTTGATTAATAAAAGGATGATTATTTATACATGTATATTGTCTAATTTCAACAAAGTTAAATAATAACTTAATAAGAAATGAATTCATAAATATATTCCATTAATCATACATTATTACTACACTATTTGTTTATTGAACATTAGCTTGTTCTATAATCAGATCATTTTTCTGAAATGATGATGTAATAAACTTGAAAAAATGCTGTTGTAATCTTCGTGGATAAACAATATGATTAAGAAAGTATCATGTTCTCATTCTTACCACAGTACTGATTCGTATTAGGGTGTGGGTGTGAGGTGTGGGTGTGAGGTGTGGGTGTGAGGTGTGGGTGTGAGGTGTGGGTGTGAGATGTGGGTGTACTCTACACCCTACGCGGACCATAAGCATCCTCCAGGCTTGATTATTATTATGAAAAATGTTGTTCTTCTTCTTATTATTATTATTCGAAAATCTCATTTATGTTTTTCGAACCATGTCTAAGACATTTGTACGTCATGGAGAAATTTCAATGGTGTATTCTCTTAAGGAACGTCATTGTTTCATCAGAGAAGATTGATACGAAATCTTTTTAGAATCTCGTTTTTTTTTCTTATTTACTAATTATAGATACTAATGCTTATTCAGACAATATATCGCTACTCATGTAAATATTTTTTGCCTGGAAACGCGTCTGAAACGAGTTTCGTTGGCGTGCGGAACGCTAAGACTGAACGTGTTTGAACGCGTCCCCAGTGAAACAAAAGAAGGGTTTAGACGCGATTTATTTTAGAAACGCATTGCAATGCGTTCGCAGTTTGACTTGCGTTTAAACGCGTTTCTTAACGAAAATGCGTCTTCTGTGAAAAATTCGAAGCGTCTGAACGCGTTTCATATAAAATATAAAAATTTTGAAAAATATATCAGAATTCATCCCAGATCCGAACTGAGCCCACATCATCAACATTTATCGATGATCTTAGCCTAACCTGGCACATGAATTGAATTTTGCCTTAAGCGATGACGATTAGATTTGAACAGATGAACCAGTGATCAGAAGTAAGATATTAAAGTCATAACCTGATTTTTCACTTATTTTTTTAAATAATCTTATTATTTTTTTTATTAAAATGATATCTTTTTTTTTCGTCTACTAAACGTGATTAATATTATGAAAACTCTTTAATTGCAATAGTAACATGATAAATAATTTTGTCGAAGGATTTAATGAATAAATAATAATTCATACAATTTATTTAGTAGAAGTATGATAAAAGTTATTAATCATAGAATTTTAAAAGTAGTATTTACCAGTTTGCTAAAAGAACATTGAATAGTTGAAAACTGTTACAATATTGTCTCATTATTATTCATACAAACTTTAGAGAAATATGATTTATATACCTTATATTTAATTAAGTTTTTGTCTATTTTCACATCATCTGAACATGCTTTATTAAAAAGTCTAACGGAGTTTAGGTAAATAATATATATATAAACCGACGATTTCGATCATGCGGTTAACCTTTCTAGAGCAACAATTTTTGAAATGAAATCGCGTCTAAAACGCGAGAAATGAACGCGTGCAAACGTGCTTATAAATATGATCGCATCCCAACGCGACTAAAAAATATTTGAGGCGCGTTTGAAGGCAGTTAGTGGATAAAATACATTCAAACGCGTTAAATGTTTTTCAGAGACGCGTTGAGAGGCAGTTCATATTTTTTTCTAATTGTGTTTAAACGAGTTGCATAGAAAAACTGCGTTCAAATGCGTTTCAAAATTTATTTAACCGCGTGTCAATGCGTTTCATATAAAACCGTGTTTGCATGCGTCGTGAAAACGTTTTATGACTGCGTCTCAATGCATTCTATTGTCAAACTGCGTTTCAACGCACCGACTTTGCGTTTTGTGTTTACATGGGTAGGGTTTCTTTTACTATTTGTCTAGAAGACAGTGAGGCGTTGAATAATTAAAAAAATAGAAGTAAAAAACTTTATGTGATTCAATTATGTAAAAGAAATAAAACACATGCCAATCCAGTCCTATCAGAACATTATGATTTGAAAACTTTCGTAATGGAATGTTTTAATACGAAAGAATCAAGCACGTTACGTATATGAACTATCCTTGGAAACAATAGAAAATTATTCAATGTGTAAACTAATAACATGTTGTTAATATCATTAGTTCTTCGTTATGGAAAGCTAAAATTATTATCGTTGGCAATCGTAGAGATTTACATCGATAAATATGAACTATATCAATCGTTTTGTTTTTCTCGTTTTCAACAATGGATAATCATATTCATTATAGTTATTATTAGATTGAAAGTTAAAAAAAAAAAATTCATTGAATCTGAATCATTACTACACGTTGGACTCAGTAACAATCATTGCTTGGTCTGATGGTGGTTCAATTATATTTATTATAAATATTATTAGATAGAAAATTATAGACAAAAACAAGTTCATTAAATATAAATCATCATTATCAGTTGACCTAACAAACAACTATTGAACTACTCATTGATTTGATTGTGGTTCAGTTGTATTCATTATAACTATTATTAAATAAAAATTAGAAGCAAACAGAAATTCTTTCAATTTAAATCGTCTTTATTTAGTCGAGCTAACTAATATTTATTGATTCATCTGATCGTGGTTCAATTATATTCATTGTAACCATTAATAGAGAAAACTTAATAACAAAAACAAATTTAGGGTGTGGGTGTGGGTGTGAGTGTAGGTGTGGGCGTGTATGTGCCTGTATGTGAGCAAGTAGTTGTGTGCATTGATATTCCAGCTGTCTACATCCACACCCAAATTCACATTCCCCATGCACACCCACACTCACACCACAACCTAACAATTGTTTTAGAGTTTTCGTATTCTTCCATAGGGAAAACCTTTGGTTTATTTTTTTTACAATCCAAACATGTTTTTTCTGTAACAGCATTTTTCACAGTTGTAAAAAGCGCTCGGAAACAATATTTGAAACTAATATTCTCCAAATTATATTTGCTATTCTTGATAAAATTAGAAACGAATGTTGTTTTTTGCCTCTTCTCAATGACTTTTATTGATACATCAACATCTGTTATTCATTTTTCAAGCTCTTTTTTCGTTAAAACTTTCTTACTCGCAATGTTTTTGCTGTTTCTGAGAAGAAAAGGAATAAAGTCGATGACAATATCAGTTTTTCAGTTACTTAGTCGCTTATTTTTTTGATCCTTTCAGGAGATGGGAAGCATTGATTTGAATCAGATGTTGCTAAACCATGAGAAAAAGTTCGAAGTTTTTCGGAGTTAAGATCCGAGCTCG